CTCCGCATTTCTAGGTCGGAGTTGACTGAGGAGAAGGAAGCCTCTGGTCGTCAGGTGGCAGGGCTCGAAGGGCGTGTCAAAGAACTAGAGGCGGAGCTGACCGCACTAAATGGACAAATGGCCTCGCTGAGAGCGGAGGATGCACGTCGACGTTATTAGCCTTCTACGTCTCGCGCCTTAGCCGATCCGGTTGTGACCCGTCGTTTATACGAGTTGTGGGTCCATGAGGAGGCTCAACTTGATGTGTATAAGGCTTTTCACGCCGAGGGAAGGGCTACTGAGGCGGAGGTTTATGCTGTGCACGCCGAAGCTCGTGCAGCTCGTGAGTCATGCGAGTATGACCCCCTCACACCTGACGAGGATGATATCAACTCTGATGATGCGAATCGCCTTGCTTCAGATTCGTGGTACGAAGATGCTTACCCCACTGGGTATGATGTGTAGTCTTATTTTGTATTTGCTTTTATTTAGGGATTTTTGCACGGGTCATACTTGGGCCCGTTTGTAGGGGCCAGTATAAATGATGTTTTGTTATAATGTAAAATTTACTTGTGTCGGCTTGTTTTTTTTCCTACATTCATCGCACACATTATATCGTTGATGCCCTCGACTATTGGGATGTTGCTTCGAACTGTCGTCGAGGCGGGATCCTGTCGTAGTTCGAACGAGGTCGAACTTATGTTTTCGTCGATGGCCTTGGCTAGGGGGGGTGTTGCTTCAACTTGTTATAGATGTAGACTCCCGTCGTAGTTCGAATGAGATCGAACTTATATTGTCGTCGATGGCCTTGGCCATTGGGATGTTTCTTCGAACTGTCGTCAAAGTAGAATCCCATCGTGGTTCAAACGAGGTCGAACTTACATTATCGTCGATGGCCTTGGCCATTGGGATGTTGCTTTGAACTGTCGTCGAAGTAGAATCCTGTCGTGGTTCGAACGAGGTCGAACTTACATTGTTGTCGATGGCCTTGGCCATTGGGATGTTACTTCGAACTATCGTCGAAGTAGAATCCTGTCGTGGTTCGAATGAGGTCGAACTTACATTGTCGTCGATGGCTTTGGCCATTGGGATGTTGCTTCGAACTGTTGTCGAAGTAGAATCCCGTTGTGGTTCGAACGAGGTCGAACTTACATTGTCGTCGATGGCCTTGGCCATTGGGATGTTGCTTCGAACTGTCGTCGAAGTAGAATCCCGTTGTGGTTCGAACGAGGTCGAACTTACATTGTCGTCGATGGCCTTGGCCATTGGGATGTTGCTTCGAACTGTCGTCGAAGTAGAATCCCATCGTGGTTCGAACGAGGTCAAACTTAAATTGTTGGAGATTTGATCGTATTCCCGTAGGAAGACATCACATTGACTAATGGAGATCCAATTCTGTACATACAATGGAGATTTGATTTTTAAAATACAATGGAGATTTGATTTTTTAAATACAATGGAGATTTGATTATCTATATGTAGTCCCTTCATTACTTCGGTCCGGAGGTCGTATCGACGGGTCGAGGTAATGAACATCATGTCGTTCCTTAAGGTGTCCCCCTTGCCGCCTCGTTAAAAACCTCTCCGGGAAAACCCGATTGGGACAAAACTCGGGTGAGGGAAAAAGAGTACGACTTAGGTGACACCTTTTTTAGAAGTGGAAGTACTTGAGATGGGTGACGTTCCAGTTATTTTGGAGTACTTTTCCCTCCATAGTTTCTAGCTGGAACGCTCTTTTGTTTGTTGCTGCTACGATTTGTACGGTCCGTCCCAGTTCGTTCCCAATTTTCCCTCATTAGGGTCTTTTGACGCTTGTGTTTTGGCCTTGAGGACGTATTTACCAATTTTGAGTGGTCGCACCTTGGCTTTCTTGGTGTAGTATCTTTCTACTTACTGCTTTTGAGCTACCATTCTTATGTGGGCCATGTCTCTTTGTTCTTCAACTTCATCCAGATCTTGTAGCCTACTTTCATTGTTGCGTGTTCCGCTATCGTTGGAGTATCTCAAACTGGGTTCCCCGACCTCGACGGGTATAACTACATCGGTCCCGTAGACCAGTGAATATGGCGTTTCTCCTGTGCTGGTTTTTGGCATAGTGCGGTATGCCCATAATACTTCCAGTAGTAGTTCGGGCCATAGCCCTTTAGCTTTCTCAAGCTTCTTTTTCAATATGTTCAATATTACTTTATTGGAGGATTCGGCTTGACCATTGGCAGCAAGGTGGTATAGTGTGGAGAGTATTCATTTGATACACCACTTTTTGAAAAACTCAGTCGTTCTTTTTCCGATGAACTGAGGCCCGTTGTCGCAGCTGATTTCTTTGGGGATGCCAAAGCGGTATATAATGTTTTTCCATATGAAGGCGATGACCTCCTGCTCACGTATCTGAGTGTATGCACCTACTTTCACCCATTTAGATAAGTAGTCAGTTAAAACCAAAAAGAAGCCTACCTTACCTCGTCCTGCTGGGAGGGGGCCGACTATGTCTATTCCCCACTTTATGAACGACCATGGCGAAGTGACAGAGTTTTTTGGCTTCTTTTTGTCTTGCGGGAGCGTTCCATTCTGCAAATAGGCTACGAAGTGGTTACGCCGGTCCCAAGTTAAGTTTATAGAGTGTACCTCGACGTGGTCTATTGCGGAATGAAGGAGGGTGACCACGTTTTCTTTGTTGATATTCTTGGTGGCCGCAGCTAGTTTAGCGAGGCCGTCTGCTTCGATATTTTGCGCCCTGTGTATTTGGTCGAGGCAGCATTCATCGAATTCTGGCAGTAGTTTGTAGATTTCTGACTGGTATCTTTGCATCCTCTGCTATTTGATTTGGAAAGTCCCTGTGACCTGATTCACCACGAGTTAGGAGTCACAGTGGAGGACGAGTCATCGAGCGCCATATTTGAGGGATAACTTCAAACCTTCAATCACAGCTTCATACTCAACCTCGTTGTTAGTCACCTCGGGGCATCGTATGGACTGTCAGATTACTTCGCCTGTAGGGACCTCGAGGACAAGTCCCAGTCCTGATCTCGAGGCATTAAAGGCACCTTCGGTGTAGAGGACCTAGAGGTCGGTATGTGTAGAAGTGCTGAGTGCTTCCTGTTCTACCTCGGGCAATATTTTCGTGCTGAAATCAGTGATGAAGTCTGCGAGCACCTACGACTTGATAGCAGTTCGCGGTTGGTACGTTAGGTCATGCTCGCTTAGTTCTATGGCCCATTTGGCTAGTCTACCCGATAGTTCGGGTTTGTGTAGGATACCCCTTAGAGGGAAGGTTGTCACCACTTTTGGGGTGACATTGGAAGTACGGTCTAAAATTCCATGAAGCTATGACCAATGCCAGAGCTAGTTTATCAAGGTGAGGGTACCTCGTCTCGGCATCGATTAAAGTTTTGCTGATATAGTAAATCGGAAATTGCGTACCTTTATTTTTTACGGACCAAGATTGCGCTTACCGCAACTTCGAAAACTGCTAGATACACAAGTAGGCATTCACCTGGGTCCTCTTTGACGAGTAGTGGTGGTGAGGATAGATATGTTTTCAGCTTTCTCAGGGCGTCGATGCATTCCTCGTTCCATTGCAGCCCGTGGTCTTTCCTTAGTACATTGAAGAATTTATGGCATCTATCCGAGGATCGTGAAATGAACCTTGATAGGGAGACTATTCGTCCTGTCAGTTTCTACACCTGCTTTTTGCTGGTCAATATTTCCCGTATTACGTCGATGGCCTTGATTTGATCTGGGTTGACCTCGATTCCCCTTTGTGACACTAGGAAACCGAGGAACTTTCCAGAAGTTACGCCGAAGGCGCACTTTTCGGGATTCAGTTTCATTCCGTACTGCCTTAGTATTTCGAAGGCTTCCTTCAGGTGACCAATGTGATCTTCTTTCTTTGCCAACTTCACTAGCATGTCATCGATGTAAACCTCCATTGTTTTACCAAGTTTCTCTTTGAACATTTTGGTGACTAACCTTTGGTACGTGGACCCTGCGTTCTTAAGCCCGAATGGCATCACCTTATAGCAGTACGTACCTCGGTGAGTGATAAAAGTGGTCTTTTCTTAATCTTCTTCATCCATGAGAATTTGGTTATAACAGGAGTATGCGTCCAGAAAGCTCAGTAGTTTGTGTCCCGATATTGCATCGATAAGTTGGTCGATGTGGGGTTACGGGAAAGAGTCCTTCGGGCATGCTTTTTTTAAATCGGTGAAGTCGACACATATTCGCCACTTCCCGTTCTTCTTTTTGACCATGACCACATTGGCGACCCATTGGGGGTATTTCGATTCTTTGATGAAACCGTTGGCGAGTAATTTATCAACTTCCTCGCTGACTGCCTCATTGATTGCGGTATTGAACTTTCTCCTTATTTGTGGTATCGTCGGATAGAGTGGTCGATATTCATCTTATGCGTGGCGATCTCCCTTGGGATTCCTGGCATCTAAGTGAGAAAAAGCAAACAAATCGGCGTTGTTAGTTAAAAACTCACAATAATCACCTGGCTCTGAGAGGTTATGCCAAACATAAGCCTTTTTGGTGCAGTCGATGTTATCTAGCTGGACGGGGTCAAGATCTTCAACGGTTGCCTTGCAAGATTCTATAAGGTCCGGATCTTTGATGGCCTCTACTTGTATGTCGGGTTTGGTTCCCGACATGACTGACTGCTATGCTTCCGCACTTGCCCCTTTTAGCTATTTTGTGTGTGTGCATTCTTGGGAGATCCGGTAGCATTCTTGGGCGGTACGTGGCTCGCCTCGGATACTGAATATCCCCCATGGGGTGGGAAATTTTATCATTTGATAGAAGTTTGTGGGGACGACTTGCATGACGTGTATCCATGGTCGTCCTATGATGGAGTTGTAGGCCGTTTTCTAGTTCATGACGTGGAATGTTGTTTCCAGGGTGACCCCTCCTGCCAGGATAGGTAGCACTATTTCTCCAGATGTCCGCTCTACTGCATTATTAAAACCTATTAGTGTTATGCAATGCAGTATTATTTTATCCTCGAGCCTCATTTGCATGAGAACTCACGGGTAAACAATACACGTGCCGCTTCCATCATCCACCATGATTCTTTTTACATCGGTATCAGCGATGCGTAAAGTTATAACTAAAGTATCATAGTGAGGGAAAGACAAACTGTCGGTATCTAACTTATCGAAGATGATACTATCTTCAAGGTCATCATACCGTTCATGGGCGACTGTCCGTTTGAGTTTGTGCGTGGTGGTGAACTTCACATGGTTGATTACCATGTCATCGCCACCGCCAATGATCATTTGTATGGTACAGACTGGTGATGGTGGCTTTGGAGGCCCTTGAGATGGGTCGCGCCTTCGAGCAAAGTTGGCCCTTCCTTTATCGCTTAACAGTTCTTTCAGGTACCCCTCGTTCAACATCCTAACTACTTCTTGCCGCAGACCTATGCAATCTTCGGTCTTGTGTCCTCTTTCTTGGTGGAATTCACAGAGGGCGTTCGACCTCCTGGTGCTTGGATCTAATTTTATCTTTTGCGGCCACTGCACCTTCGTGCCCAACTTCTCCAGTGCGTACACTATCTCTGAAGGGGAAACACAAAAATTATGAGAAGAGAGTAGTAGAAGCATACCTCTTTCGTTGCGGAGGGGTGCAACATGTCATGGCGCGACGTCCGCATGCCATGGAGGGGACGAGTTGGATGTTCGGATATAGGGCTGATGCCTTTCGCGATTGAAACGTGGTGGTTGATCTCTTCGCCCGTCGTTACGTCGATCTCTCCTTGTCTCGGTCTGGACTGATGTTAATTGTTGAAGCGGGCTATTCAGGTCGTCCTCGTCTGCCCTCACCTCGGCGCAATAGGCATTGTGTATCTCTTCCCATGTGGTAGGGGGTACTTCATGAGTCTACTGAGCAGTTTTTTGGTTGCTTTTGACCCGTTCCTGTTTAACCCATTTTGAAAGGATACTACTGCCATCCCTTCTGACACGTTCGGTAGGCTCATCCTTACTCTGTTGAATCATGCCAGGAAATCCCGGAGTCCCTCGCCCGTCATTTGCCTGACGGCGAAGATATCATTGACCCTAGCCACAGCCTTCTTCGCTCCTGCATGAGCGGTAGCGAATTTATCCGCCATCTCTTCGAACGTCGATATCGATTGCGCTGGTACCTGGGAGTACCATATCAATGCTCCCCTTGTCAAGGTATCACCGAACTTCTTTAGCAGCATAGACGATACCTGTTCTTTTGATAGATCATTGCCCTTTACTGCAGTAACATAATGGATTAAGTGATCCTCCGGGTCCGTGGTCCCGTCATATATTTCCAAGTATGGCGGCATTTTGAAGGTCTTTGGAATAGAGTGTGGAGCAGCCCCTTCGTTGTAAGGCTGTTCGACAAATCGACCCACATCGCGTTTTGGTAATAGCTTCAGAGCACCTGGTATTTTGTCAACCCTCTCTTGATGTTCCTTCATCTGGTCGCGTAGTGTTTTGTTCTCGTTTTCCATCTCTTCCATATTCTTTAGGATGTCCATAAGTGCATCATCACCTGCATTAGTAACAGTGTGTGTGTCACCTGCTCGTGTAGCGCTTGGCTCATCGGCAGTAGCTGCGATTTCTATAGGTGGTACGTCTTCGACATCTCCTTGATTGGGTTTCTCGAGCATGTTGCTCAAAACACTTGTTAACCATTCTTTTAGCAGCTTTTTGACTACTGGTGGTGCTTCCCCCACCGTGGATATTGAGGCTCCCCTTTCACGCAAGATCGTTAGATCCCCGTGTGGAAGAGGTGAGATCTCCCCCTCCGGTGTAGCTCTTGGTGTTGAATTCTCATTGTCTTCTCTACCGGCTTCGTTGAGGGAGTTCATGAAATTATCGAGACATCTGCTACCGCTTTCAGCCTCGCTTCCTTTCCCGCCATTATTGGTTTTTATGAGGTTTGAAAAAAAAGTAATTATCATTTTCAAGAATCTAGATGAGAACTATGATTTCAGCTATAGAAATCCCCACAGATGACGCCAAATTGTTTGACTCAAAAGATGTTAAAACCTTTTTGAACAAATCAATCGAAGATGAAGGGGTAAAACGTAGTTGAAAATAATAATCTTTAGAATAATAATAGGTGAAAGGAAGAGAGTTGCAAAGTTTCTTTTCATTCAAGATTGGTAAGTTTTCCGAGTCCCCCCCCCCCCCCC